ATCAGCCTGCATTTATGACCAGGTGCCCAGTTAATAAAGCTCACGTCTTGTTTTGTTAAAAACCGTGTTTTGTCATTTTTCTCTGACGTTTTTGTCTTGGTTATTTTATTTTATGGGTTTAACACCTCTTTTATCCGTAGCCAAGAATAAAACGTTAAAAGTTTCATTTCAAAACATCTAAATCTAAAGATACAGCATGCCGTGTTTAACGAACGAAGAGCGCTATCAGGCAGTTGGTATGCTGAGGGCCAATACGCCAGTAGCGAATGTTGCAAGGACCTTCAATGTGACAAGAGACACGATATATCGACTAATGAATCGTTTGCAGACGTCTGGATCCGTGCAGGATGGTCCCCGGACGGGTCGTCCTAGAGCTACAACACCAGCCCATGTCCGGTACATTCGGGTCTTGTACCTACGAGATCGCTTGCAGCCTGCTACCAAGACAGCCAGGGAGTGGCCGGGACGGAGAACCATAAGTGCCCCGACTGTGCACCGACGCCTCGGAGCTCAAGGTCTCATTTCTAGACGCCTTGCTCGACACATCCGCTTGCTCCCGAGGCACCGCCGAGTCAGACTCAACTGGGCCCGCCTGCACCGATGATGGATTTTGAAACAGTGGGATAATGTGATGTTCACAGATGAGTGTCGTGTCCAACTGCAAAGCAATGATGGAAGGCAGCGTGTCTACAGAAGGATTAATGAATGTTTCTCTAACAGTTGTATGAGTTCAGTTGGCCGGCTTCGAGTCCAGATCTGAACCCCGTCGAACATCTTTGGGATATGATGAAAAGGCAGCTCAGAGCCCTTAGACCTCAGCAGGTCACCTTGGATCAGCTACGTACAGCACTTACAAACATATGGGACAACATTCCACAGCATTCCATACAAAGACTTGTGCGAAGCATGCGGCAGAGGTGCACAGAAGTCGCCAATGCCCACGACGGCTATACGCGGTACTAACTGTGACTTTTCATTTTAGGGCATACAATTAAAAGATCAAATTTCAGGTAATAAAGTTTATTTTAAAAAATTGTTTTTTGTGTTATTGATTTGTAAAATGTTCGAACTTTCCTTATAGAGAGATTGTTTCTGGTTAAAATCAGTCTTTCAATACAAAAAACACTTTAAAAAAGGGGTGTCTGGGTTTTTTTTGACGCCAAGTATAGTAGTAGTAGTAGTAGTAGTAGTAGTAGTAGTAGTAGTAGTAGTAGTAGTAGTCAAAATCTAAAAACAGAAATAACCGTAGCTGATATATAACAAGATTTAGTCTCTCTTAAACTACTGAGCAGAGCATTCTGGATCTTTGGGACCATCACAACAAGATGAAAAAGAATCAACAAACTTACGTAATTGACTTTGTTTATTGAGAACAGATTATCATCAATAACGAGGAAATACAAAATCCCAAAGTCTTTACCAAACCGAAGGAAAGCAATAAAGGAACAAAAGATAAACGAAAATACAAACACAAACATACACATATCCCCTGTCCCCACCCATACACACCCACACACCCATACATTAGCACGTACACACATACACACGCATACAAGCATGTACACACACACACACATGCACACACACATGCACACACACAAACACAAACACACAAACACAAACAAACACACACATACACACACAAAACACTTGCAAACACATTCACACTTACACTCACGCATAAAACAAATACAGAGACAAATAGACACATAAACATACAAAGACAAAAAGGCACAAGGACATACACAGAGGTAATGACATGGTTTAACGGAAAAGTTAAAACAGCTATATACAAACGCACGCACACACACACACACACACACACACACACACACACACACACACACACACACAGTCATGCACAGTATTGCTCTTACAGGAACACATTTCAGAAACATTTCTGTTATAACAGTTTAACAATGATAACAGTGATCAAAATAAACACAAAATTAACAACATTAACAATAAACCATAACATCAACAACAAACGATAACAAAAACAACATCAGTATACGCATTCGGTAGAATTTTAATTAAAGGTAATAATATTTTGAGTAGATGCGTTGTATACACTTTTATTTTTTAATAAGGATCTAAGAAATTATGGGTTAAGAAAGTGATGTATTTGATTTTATAAAAAAGATTTGATGGATAGATTGTGTCGATTTTGAAAACAGAAATGTTTTCTTTTTTGTGTGTGGTATTCAATTTCAACACTTGATTTTAAATTACTTTACAGCAAAATATTACGCTTAGTCTAACGGTAATGAACTTGATTTTAATGTGCAAGTGCAAGACAAAATGAATCAGTTCTCCTGTGGAAGTAATTGGCAGCGCTCTTTTATTAACTCTTTCAAACAGGAATTTTCCATACATCACTAAAGGTTCGCATCTCATTATAAACATTTTCTTTGCTTTATTAAACAAATAGTTAATGCGTAGTACGACTTACATGGATGTATCCACTATTTTTCTGCCATTTATGAAGACTGCTGTGAAATAGCAATGCACTTAGACTTGTAACAGCATGACATCTAAATTCGATTCTCGTGGCTCTTATGAAATATCCCAATCTAATTACTAGGATGTAGAACATGACATAGCCCAGGTTGGACCTGGTAGGCAAAGTTGAAGCAGCCCGCCTCTTAAAGGAATTGATATAAAATTAGCATAACATATAATTTGAAGTCAATAAGGAAAGAATGAAATACAATTAATGTTAAATATGATTTTATTTCTTTTTTCGCTCATTTATATAGTTTTCACCATGCCACCTCAAATGCCTAAAGGAAGAAGGGTTTTCTAAACTACCTTTTTTTAAATTTACAAGTCGAAAATAGTACAACAATCCTTTCTGAACAAAATTTGTGATTGATCAAGACATCACATGGTGCGGAAAAAAACATTGAATCGAAATTGAATTTTTAACTGTCGTTTCCCAGTGTCCCACATTGTCACAAGGAGACATTGCTTTTCCCTCATATTATATAGCAATAGCATTGAATGTTATTTTTTCCTTTCTAAAAATCCCGGAATCCCTATTTTCAGGACCGCCGGCGAAGACATTACGTTAGAGCCGACTGACCCCGTCGCAATTGAGTAATGTAACACGAGAAATGTCCGCGGGAAACTGGCTTGTCGATGAGTGCGGAGTAGGAAGAGGATGACAGGGGGTAGCTGAGGACGAACAGAGGGGGACAGAGAAGAAGAGAAGGACAGAAAGAAAAAAAAATAGACGATGGAAAGAGGAAAGGAGGAAGAAAGAATGAATAGAGAAGGAAGGAGAGAAGGTGAAAGTAAAAAAGAAATAGGAAAGAAAGAGGAAAGAAATAAGGAAAGAAGGAGGAAGGAAATAGACAGAAATGGTGAGGAAGGACTGAGATTAGGAGGGAGAAAGAGTGAAGAAATTCGAAAAAGGAGAAAGAAAAAAGAAGAAGAAAGGAAGAGAAATAAGGAAAAAGCAGGGAAAAGAGTGAAGAGGGAAGGAAGAAAACATGAAGAAAGGAGAACGAAAATCTGAACATGGCTGAGGAAAAGTGAAAAAAAGTCGAGTACTAGAAAATGTACGGGAGGAAGAAAAAGGGATGGAAAGAAGGAAGGAAGGAATAGGGGGATAGAAAGAAAGAGAGGAAGAAATGGTTCGAGGGAATATAAAACCAAGAAAGGATAGACAAGGGGATGAGGAAAGGAGGGCAAAATAAGGAATTGTGTTGTAGGGAAGGAAAAGGGAAGAAAGAAGATAGAAAAAAACGGTGAATTTTAAGACAGGGTGAAGAAAATGAAAAACTGGGGGGGGAGTAGGATAAAAGGCGAAGGAAAGGGGGAAGATAGAAGGAAAAAAGAGACATGAGTATCAAACGAGGAAGAAACAAGGGAGAAAGAAGGATGACA